GTTTGAAGGAAACTTTTTTACCTTCTATGAGCATGGCTGATGCTCATATCCAAAAGAGTGATTTGTTGTGCCTAGTCGGATTAACATTTTCAGCTGACATGAAGTGGAAAGATTATATTGAATCAATTGCTAAGTCTGCAACTAAGAAAAATTGGTTCACTATGTCATACTAGACAATTTTTCTCACCAGAATCTATTTAACATATTTATATTTGTCCTTGCTTTCAATATTGGTGCCACATCTGGTTTGGTGCTCCTGCTATATATTTTGAGACTCTTTATAAAATCCAAAGAAAAATCGGCAATATTATTGATCCTGACCCAGTCACTTTCACACTGTTTTAACGTAGCTTCCTTGTATCTTTTCTATAAATACTTTCATGGTAAATGTTCTGATGAACTTTTCTCTATGGTACCTAGACTTTATAAATTGTAATATTAGATTGGCAGCAAGATCTCATTTTACAGTTGAAATGGCAAGATGTAACTTTAAGTTCTATGCTAACAGTTTCTTTTATCACACTTCTTGCTTGTGGAACTCCCTTCTGACTACATGCTCTCCAGACAAATTTGATCTTTAAAAATTTAATGCCATGTCCATCATTATCTTCCGCCGTCTTAATTCTTGTTCTTTTATTCTATATGCTTTTATTTTATTCTCATATTCTCTAACACTGTAACCTCTTGCATCTTAGTGGCTTTATTGCCCTGCTTTGGGTGAAATGATTTAAAAAGAAAAAAAAAAAAATTGTGTAAATATATATAAAGTGGAGTTAATAAGAATTTTCTGCCTTGTTTTCAATACCAAAAGTCTTAGGTGGGAGGTATTAAATATTTAATATATATTAATATATAATTACATATTTAAAACAATAAAAATTTGTTCAATAACTAATTTTTTTTTTTTTTAAAACTATACACTAAAACAAAAAATTTTATTTATCAAAATACTTTTTATTTATTATGGTCACTATTTGCTTATTCTTTAGGTTAAATACATACATTATATTTTTGAAAAGTGTCATTTGGCAGGTTTATTTTTATTTAATAACTTCACTCCAAGCAAGGCAAAAAAAGCCACTAGGATGCAAGCAGTTGCTGAGAATGAAAGAGACAGAGGAGAATAAAAAAAAATCCAGGATTCAAGGAGAGAGATGACAATTGATGTTGCATTTAAATTTTTGAAGATCATAATGGACAGGAAAGCTGGATGGGTGTTGCACAAGTGATAAGTGCAAAAGAAGAAACTATTAGTATAGAATTTCCGGTAACAACTAGTAATTTCAACAGCGAAATTATCAGAACTAGCTGACATTTGTGAAGTCACAGTACCAACGAGGAATAATTATCATAAAAATACTTATAGAAGAGATAAAAAGAAGCTACTTTGCCGCAGTGAGAAAGTGACTTATGCCAAGTCGGGACTGATAACATTAGTGATTCCTCTTTGGATTTTGTTAAGAATCTCTAGACACGTAGCAAAAGCTTCAAACAAGGTGTGTGTCAGTATTCAATAGACGGATGAATAGTAAAGTTATAAATGTGCAAGATAGATTCTGGCAAGAAAGTTCATCTAGCACAACATAGTTAACAGACTTACTTAGCAATTAATTCACTAGAATTGTTCCACTTCATGCCAGTGGAAAATGTGAAACTAGAATTGTTCCACTTCATGCCAGTGGAAAATGTGAAACTAGAATTGTTCCACTTCATGCCAGTGGAAAATGTGAAACTAGAATTGTTCCACTTCATGCCAGTGGAAAATGTGAAACTAGAATTGTTCCACTTCATGCCAGTGGAAAATGTGAAACTAAGAAGGCACAGTGACTTGCCTTCCTTGAGCTCAGCATCAGTTATGCTGATGGAAGGTAACCCCCCCACAAAAATAACAGATTCTTTAAGATGATTAATAGAGAACCAATTAACAGACTGAAGATCATTTTCTAGATCAGCTGTCAATTTGATTTTATTGAACCTGTCAAACTTACTATTAAGACAAGTGTAAATAGTTATGTCATCCTTATAAGTACTAAGTTGGAAACTGTTGACATTGGGAAGATCATTGATGAAAATAAGGACCACAGTGGTCTCAAGAATAGAGCTCTGGAGATGCCTCCATTAATGTAAAATGATCTAGAGGAGAGGACATTTAAGACAACATTCATTATGTGGTTTGATAAAAAAGACCAAATCAATGACCAGAAACACCATAACCCTTCAACTTATGGAAAAGACCAGCAATCCAAACACTATCAAATGCTTTCAAAACATCTAGTACAACAGCCCTAGCTTTGCAATTCTTATCTAAAGCTTCATAGACTTTCAGCAATAACCATCAACACATTGGCAGTTGACATCAGGAAGTAAAAGCCATATGGTTTATCTAAAAGAAGAGCCTTTGAGGTGAGATGCTTAATTCAGAGTGGATTAATATATTGTATTATTTAGGTTGTAACTTAATACTTTTTTTTTTTTTTAGAGGACATTTTCTACGTGCTTAAAAAGGAAAAGCTCAAGATTAATGAAAGTTCTTAAGAGGTTATCAACTTCCTCAATCAAACATGAAATAAACCAATATAAGGTGTTGATTGTTTGCTTTTATTTTTAAGGGATATCATTCAGTGCCTGCTAGAGACACTCCAGAGAAAAACCTAACTTACAAGTATTAAAAATAAAGAAAAAAAAAGAAAAGAAAAAGTTAAGTATAGCTTTTGCATTTTGTAGCTGACAGACCTCATCAATTGAAATGATTAACTGCAACTCACTATGTTAATCGTGGGTCCAAACCAGCAAGTACAGGGTGTGGAGGTTTTGCAGTGTTAAATAAAAAGAGACTAATTGAAGGAAATGTAAAGAACAACAGAACAGACATAAATTCTTGGTCGACAGCCTGAAACAGGGTCAACATTTTTTTTGAATTACAGATGAAAAAGATACGAAGCACAGATATGGGGGATGGGTGTGGAGGACAAAGAAAAGCAACTCTAAAAGCAAAAAAAAAAAAAAAAAAAATGGGCCACTATAAAAATTTTGGTTATTTGGTAGTGACAGCAACACCAAACTACAAAAACAACTTATTCCCTGTTCATTGACTATCAGGAAACAGTGGTACAACTGATGCTTCATGGCATAAACAAGATATATATATATATATATATATATATATATATATATATATATATATATATATATATATATATACACACACACACACACATATATATATATATATATATAAAAAAAATTTCTCAGAGTTAACCTGCAGAAAAAGCCAATATGTATAAATGTAAAAGACAATAGGAAAACTGTATTATTAGAAGACATGTGGACTTTTTTCAAGGCAAAAACAAAATGAATTTATTGAAAACAAAGTAGCTATTAGCAACAAACAAAATGTTCTTAGCAACTAGAAGAATTTAGAAAACAATTGTATTTATATTGTCAACAATTGTATTCATATTGAAAATTATGTCAAGTACTTTCACAAGTAGAAATATTGTTTTTTATTGTTGTGTTGATGGATTCAACCATTTTCTTTTGATTTCTTGGTATAGCTGTGTACATTGGGTTGGGAGAGTAGTGATTTTGTTAGGAAAGGTGGTATTGGGAAAAACCTGGACGTAGATTAATATTTGGATAATATTCAATGGCGGCACACTCGAGGATTTTTTTATGAGTGAGTTATTTTCTTTTTTTATGAGTGTAGCATTTAAAAAAAAAAAAAAAAAAAAAAAAATCAAAATTGTGGTTGAATTTATTTCTATGTGTGATTAGTGCATTAGTTGTCTTTTTGTGAGGTCTCTTTTGTGCTCATTGATGATATTTTGGCACCAATCTCTCTCTAGTATATATATATTAAGCTACTTAATTTAAAAAAAAAAAAAAATTTTTTTTGTATGCACTTGATGGGTTTGACCAAATGGATATTGGGAGAAATAACAAAGACAAAACTTATTAAGAGCTATAAGGGTCAGGAGGATGTGGAGGGCCATTATCACCCACATCCTGAAGGGACATGGCACATAATAGTGTACAAATTGTCCAAATGTTTCAATGTTCAGCTACTCTCAGCCATTTTAGGATCTTGGTTGTGTCAAAAGTAAAAAAAAAAAACCAAAAAAAAAAAAAAAAAAAAAAAAAAACAGACAACAGAAAAAAAAAAAAAAAAAAAAAAAGATTTGTAATCTCGTCTCATTACATAGTAATAAAATAACACAAAGCATGTTTTCTTGCGACATTGAGTAATGCCTAATATTTGGTTGGTTAAATTTGTAGACTGTGGAATATAGGGTCATAGACACCACATGTGCTAGGTACTGCTCACCCTAGAAGTAACCAACTTTGAATTCAGTATTATCCTTCTCCTAGGCTGGTTGCCAACTAAGATTAGAGAGCATGGTCTACCCTGCTATTAAAACTACAGCTGAGGGAGGGAGAAAAGATGGAGTCTTAACTTTTTAAAGGGTATTTGTGGGAAAATAAACAATCGTCTAAACCAGAATTTGGACTGTTTGATGACCCTGTTTTCTATGCCGTTAACTGCTGTGCTACAAACACGTACAATGGGTCAACGCTATTATAGCAGAATATCTCATTAGTAAATAATGAAGCCAGGTTGTTTGAGTGACAAATGTAGAAAATAACATTATATTTGATATATAAATAATAACTATTTTTTAGAGGTGTCATTATGAATCCAGAGATAATTGCATGTAGAAAATCTTACATTTTGCAAACAATGAATCTTTAAAAGACATCATCTTTGAGTTTACAACTGGCTAAAATGGTAGTCTAGACTAAGAAACTTCAGCACAAGCTGGTTGGCTTTACTTATTGCAATAGAAAATGAAAGATTTCAAAGTAGAAAACAGAAGATAGGTGACTCAGAATTTCACTTTTCTTCACAAGCCGCATTAACTTCTAAATATCTTATTTGTTATTTTTGCTTCAAAATACACCTATCATGGTATCCCTTGCAGTTTTAGTCTACTTGGGATGGCTTATGGCCAAAGCACATTGAAACACTAGTTTCCATACGATCACTGAAGTTAAGCAACATTGAGCCTGGTCTGTACCTAGATGGGTAACCACTTGGGAATACCAAATGC